TAAAAGTCAAAAGAGCATGTGCACATTTGAATAATGTCTGGCTGTAAACAGGTTTGGGGTTTTATAAAGCTGTCCATCAAAATGTAATTGTCGGGCTCTGTCTGAATTCTGTCTGGCCTAACTTTTATGGCCCGATTACAGCTCTAGTGGAGGGTCTCAAATAAGCTTACAGCAAACACTGAAAACAAGAAACAAGAACTCTCACTGGCTGCAGAATCTGCAGAGGTCCATGCAGCTTAATGGCATGTACTAAAACATGTGAATAAATTTATCCAGATTTAGAGAGATTTTAACAGATTTAGTTACTAAAGCGTTTTTCCTGTTGACGTTTGGATCCCCAAATTCACTGTAATCATCAGCTTAAGAGAAAAGCAGGATGCACTTTCACTTGGCCTGATAATGGTCAGAAAAGTGACTGGAAACTGCACTTGTTGACATGTGACTTATTGTGTACATGTGATTTATTGTGCCTTTTATTCTAGCCTAAATAGAGACCAGGTGATATATTAAATAAACTTTTCACTTGAAATCTATTTGACATAATAATTCCATATAAGATTTTGCTTAATCCTAGCTATTACATATCTTAGCTTCTATCCAGTTTTGCTGGCACATTTATCCGTTTTTTTGCCCTGGTTGCCTTTCAAAACATCACTCAAGAAGGAGCGTGTGTGTGTGTGTGTGTGTGTTGGAAGAGAGTTGTGGCCACAGTAGCTCCAGGTTTGAAATTGAATCCTGTGGTTTAAAAGGGGGAGGGGGGGTCCATTTAGCCATCATATCTCTGACTGCTGCATCACTGAAGCATTGCCAGAATTCCTGTTTCAAGTCTCTTCTGTATATCGTATCCACAGAGGTATGCTTCAAGGTGACATAGATGGGCATTCCATCCATACAGCCTGAAGAAAGCTTTGAGTGTTATGAAAACACACTCATTGCTACTGAGAGTTGAACTAAAGTATTTTAGATATATCACTGTCAGATAGTTCCACATGAAGTGATATCCCAGCAAGAGCACGACTAATAGTCTTTATTCATTCTTTTAAAGTCTCTATGAAGGCAAAACTGATTGTTTGTTTCATTTTTAGATGGGGTGGTTAGTAGTAGATGTTAGGAGGTTAGTAGCACTTTGTTAGTTTTGAAATCATCTCATTTAAATTTAAAACATTTAGTGTCTTACTGCAATTTTAGTGATGGGAAGATTGGATCATTTTACTGACTCTGACCTCTGAGTCTTCTTCATCGACATGAAGCAACCTTTTTTTTCATTTCATCCAAGCACATCTACAACTAGGCCAAACGTTGATCACACTACAAACACGTCTTTGACATGCCTTCAAATTTGATTCATACATATATATGATCAATCATTGCAGAAACTATTGCAGCACTGCTGCTTCAGCGACGCTTCTGCGTGCAGTTTGAAGCTCGGTAACACTTTATTTTGATGGTCCAGTGGAGTATTAGTAGACTGTCTGCTTATTATCTGTTAATACTGCTGCTAAACAGAGATTTAACTGACTATAAGAAACTTTACAAGTACATGTCATCTTACACTTACCCTAACCTCAACCCAAACCCCAACCTAACAGTCTATTTATAATCTAATGAGGATTAGTTGGAATGTAGATGCAATGTGACTTGAATTCTACAAACAGACCTTCAAAATAAAGTGACACCGAAAGCTGTTAGCATGGACTCCAAAAAAAAAAAACACACGCTGCCCATGCTCTGCTCACGCTTGCGGTGTGAAGAAGGCTTAAGGAACATGTTTTTACCCGAGAGCTTTTCGCATCTGGAAATGGTGAAATTCGGATTTGCTGCTCGTCTCCTTTTTAAAAACGATGCGGTTACAGTTGGTGTTGTCACTACGGATTTGGTAAGTGTGTGATCAGTGTTCTTTGTTGGCAAAGTTTAGTATCGTCAGCAGTATGTGAGCCGAGTAGTACGTCCGAATTCATAGAATTCGAAAATCAGTATGCGAGAAGTACCCGGATGACTTGCTACTTCCGGCGAGATTCTAGAGTGCGCATCCCATGCATGCTGCGCTATCCCATGATGCCCCGCGAACGAATTTATGAATGAGAGTAAAGTGACGCAACTGACGCAGATAGGTCACGTGACTATGACAAAATGGCGGATGTAGTACGTCCGAATTCCATTCATACTTTTCACTGAGTAGTAGGCGGTTTCAGACGCAGCCCTAGACTTCTAGACAGGTGTGTTGGAAGAAGTTGGAGCTAAACATTGCAGAACACCGGCCCTCCAGGACCGAGTTTGGATACCCCTGGTCTATACACACATGGCTTTCTGATACTATTCTCTACACCTACCGAGTGCATTTAAGTTACCAAGAGATACAGAGGTTCTTTTTTTCTCCAATATGACATGCGGTAGGCACGGGACGATTACTGTGTTCAAGGTATACCGCGGTTTGGAAAAGTCAAGGTTTTAAAACCTTCAAAATTTACTGCTATACCGTTCCTAAGGTATAAGTAAGATTTTTTATTTAATAAAAATTTTTTTTTGGTTTTTAGGACGACAGTATCTCCAGCAAAAAAGATCTCCAAAGATCTCCAAAGATGAATTTTAAATTGTAAAAAAATAGTGTTTTTGAAACAAATGAAGGCAGCAGAACTCAAAAAAATTATTTGATTAATTTAGTCTGACATGTTTACAGTTCCAAAACATTTAAATGTTCCTCAAATTGAAATCTATTGTGTAGAAAGGGGAAAAATGTTTTGCTTTTTACCCAGACATTTAAAAAGAACATATATTAGAGCAGTAATCACAATACCGTTATACCGTGAAACCATGATATTTATATCCAAGGTTATCATACCGTCAGAATCTTATACCGGCCCATGCCTAGCGTGCGGTATCAAACATTCAAATAAAACAACACTCTTCCAGCAGTTCTTGTTTGTCAAGGGGGCATGCATGAAATAGGCCCATGCAGAGACTGTCCAAAGGGCATGTGCAGGATAAAACTTTAGAAGACCGGGGGGTTGGGCGTTGGGTTGGGGGGTTGTTGTTGTCGCGCGCATACTGAAGAGCGGTGTTGTTGCGCGCATTCTGATCAGCGGTGTTGTCGCGCGCGTACTGTAAAGCGGGGGGTGGGGAGCGCGTGTACTCAAAAGCGGTGTTGTCGCGCGCCTACTGAAGGGGGGAGGGGAGGGGTCGCGGGGGCACTTTTGATCATTTTGGAAGGGCACTTTATATCCAAGACTAAAAAGGGCATGTGCACTGCACAGGTTGAACCCTATGAGCCCACATGCCTGGCATGAAATGTTCCTGATTGAAAGTGAAAGTGCCAAACTGCAGTTAAAGTTGACAAATCAATTATTCATAGTCCTTTAAGAAATTGTAAGCTGTCCTCTTAATATTCCACAGTGTCTCAGCATACAAATTCAGTCTTTGTGACAATCTCTCTACCCAATGAACAACCCCAGGCTCTTCTGCTTAAATCGAAAGTTGAAAATTAGCCGTCTCTGGAGATCTAAAACACATTACATAAAACCCACAGCCATAACACATGACGTGCAATCATGCAGAGACAGGTAGGCATTAAATAAATATGCTTCACGGTTTACAACCATTGTGTTTAGTGACAGAGATGAAGCTCTGCTACAATTTCCCTCAACTTTTCCAGCACATGAAGCTAACAAGGCATGAGCTAATGAATGTTGCATAACATTGCATTCGGCAAAATGCACCCACACAAATGGTCTGATCGCAAAACAGACATCTGCTGTGAAACTGAACAGACAATGAGTGGCTGGACATCTAAGAGCATTTCTGAGGGTGAAGACCACTAACTTCATTAGCGAGCCCTCCCTCAGGAAGCAAGCAGACGGCTAATGGGAAATAAGAACTACTTATGTTAGCGTCTGGTTCAATGAAGCACGACCGGCATGCTTGGTTGTACTTTAAGCTTTGTTCTATCTAAATTAATTTAAGGTGGCTCAGTGAATTTTAGTGGCTCACGGTGACCAAATTAGCTGCTGGAACACATTAGCAGAATACAGTGTGCTTGTAAATGTCTTTTCAGATCAGGGCAAGAAAAACCATGCTTGAAGTGTCATAAGGATATGTGAATCTGAGCAAACAACATCAATTATTGAATTCGATCTTTTACATTCTCTAAAATTTAATTTAAAATGGTGTTTGTGCAAAATTTATAGTTGTATGATCCTGTTAAACGCATCACTTTATATGCATTCATTCACGCTAACATTAATATCTCCTGTTTAAAATATTATGAACAGCAGCTATGCTATTTCTACCAAGATTGTGCAGAGTCACTTCATCAGATCCAAGACCTGTAAAGAGATGACACCAATCCTGATATAATTATATCCTGAATATTTTGCTAATGTATCTTAAAGGACTGGAATACCCCAAAATCCCTACAGAACAATCCAGCTTAAACCAGCCCAGGCTGGTTGGCTGGTTTTAGCTGGTCGACCAGCCTGGTTTTAGAGGGGTTTTGGCCAATTCCAGGCTGGTTTCCAGCCATTTCCAGCCTGGTCTTAGCTGGTCAGGGAGATGACCAGCTAAAACAGGGATGGGCAAACTTGAGTTTTGTTCCAACACTAGTCAAACACACCTGAACAAACTAATCAGTGTCTTCAAGATCACTTGAACTCTATAGGGAGGTCTGTTTGAATGAAGTTGGAGCTAAACTGTGCAGGACACCGGCCCTCCAGGACCGAGATTGCCCACCCCTGAGCTAAAACCAGCTTGATCAGCCTAGTCAGACTAGGAGTCCAGCCAAAACCAGCTATGTCCAGCTTAAACCATGCTGGTGAAGCTGGAAACCAGCCTGGAAATGGCCAAAACCCCTCTAAAACCATGCATGTCAACCAGCTAAAACCAGCCAACCAGCCTAGGCTGGTTTAAGCTGGATTTTTTTAGCATGGATGAAAATCCTGCCATCATTTACTGATCCAAACCTGTTTGAGTTTCCTTTTTTGACTATAGATACACTGTAAAAAATAACGGGTGAAATATACGGTAAAATACCGGCAGCTGTGGTTGCCAGAAGTTCACCGTAAAATATAAGGTTGCAACGTGCAATGCTTTACAGAATACTTTTTGATGATCTGTAAATTTTACAGTTGAAAACTGCTGTATGTTTACAGTAAATTTCTGTTAAATAAAACAAATGTATTGTAAACATGTTTACAGTAAATTACTTTAAAAATAGCAGTCGTAAGTGTAAATTCCTTTACAGTAAACTACTGTGTATAATAAATATACTGTAAAACTAACTACATTCTATTTCCGTAATAAACATAAAACAACTGTATTAAATATAATAGTATTTTATTGTAAAGTTCAGTTTTACAGAAAATTACCGGCAGCTGTGGTTGCCAGAACTTTACCGTAAAAAACACGGTAAAACACAAAAGACATTACAGTTGTTTGCCACAGATTTTACAACAATCAATCAGGTTTTTGAATTGCAAAATGAACTAGTAAATACAGTCTATAGCAACTGAAGGCACAAACTATAATTATTAGATTTTAATGAAACTACATACAGGGACTGTGTTAAAACAGTTTGAGCTGATCCAATAACTTGACCAGTGTACTCACAAAGGCGTGTTGATGTTGGAAATAAAATGTGTCCATATATAAAAGTAAGGATAATCAATGAAGACATATACTGTACATCCATCAGGGCTGCTTGCTCTGGTTGAACAATAGTATTGAGCCCACACTTGACGGAAGACACAGGACTGTGTATGTTCCAAACTTGAAATGTAGTACTGCCTGAAGTCTTGCATGTAGTCACTATTTCAATATGGACTGGCATGATCTCTCTGCAGAAAACAGACACAAAGACAAGTTAGTTCAAGAGAAATATGCTTGAACTGAAATAAACTCAGTCTTCTTTTCTTTAATTGATTACCAATGAACTGCACACAAGCAACACCATAGAATTTTGTAGGCCACTTTAATAATAAATACAATAATTAATAATCAATATTAGGGCAAAAGATTGAAATAGACACATCTCAGCACTGAGCTATCATAAGTATTTGCTTCACTCTGTCAGCTTGGAGCCTAAATTCAACAATTCACACAATTTGTGCTAAATCATCAGATAGGAGTCATCAGATACAATCCTAGTCATTCTTACAAAAAAATACACTAAAGTTTTCTAGGTTGAGTAATTGCTATAACTATAATAAAATAATTGTTTTTAAAAATATATATTTGTAGAAAAACTAGTTTAAATATAAAGTTGATAAAATATTTACATTGTGTGCCATTTTTGCTTTAAACTGCAATTAAAGATCTGTGTTGACAGTACATTTTTCAAAAGAGTATACAAACATCATTGTCTGCTATAAAGAGTCTTTTACTTTATCTTTTATCCCAAACCATTATTTTTAGTGTGTGGTCATAATTAAAGGGACAGTTGAACAAACAATGAAAATTTTGTCATTAATTACTCACCTTCATGTTGTTCTAAAACCTTAAGACTTCTGTCCATCTTCAGAACACAAATTATTATTATTTTTATTTAATCTAAGAGCTCTTTCTGATCCTCCCACAGATAGCAATGCTCCTTGTGTGAAGCAATGATAATACTTTTGGGAAACATTTTCAACAACACTTCTGATGTATAACATGGTACACTGGGAGCATTACCCAGTGTATATCATAACACCAGTTACATCATCATAACATTTTTATTTAACTACTGATTACATGTACTTATTAAGGGAGGATAAGAAAGTTCTTGGACTAAATATAAAATATATTTTAGTGTGTTTAAAAGATGAACAAAGGTCTTTCGTTTTTAGAACTACATGAACATAATAACAGAATTTTCTTTTTTAGATGAACCATTCCTTAAATGCATTATGCTAATATATTATTATAATCACAGTGTTGCAGGTATTGTTAATGCTGTTCTGTTGTCAACTATTGTTGTTTATTGATATAAAATTTGATGGTAAACACTATAATCTAAAGTTGTAAAATGATGTTAATAGACAAAAAAATCGATTAACTCGAGGAAATCATGTGGCAAAGTAAAAGTATTTATTAATATACTTTTTAGGGCGACATGGTAGCGCAGTGGGTAGCACGATCGCCTCACTGCAAGAAAGTCGCTGGTTTGAGTCCCGGCTGGGTCAGTTGGCATTTCTGTGTGGAGTTTGCATGTTCTCCCTACGTTCGCATGGGTTTCCTCCGGGTGCTCCGGTTTCCCCCACAGTCCAAACACATGCGGTATAGGTGAATTGGGTAAGCTAAATTGTCCGTAGTGTATGAGTGTGTATGGGTGTTTCCCAGTGACGGGTTGCAGCTGGAAGGGCATCCGCTGCGTAAAACATATGCTGGATAAGTTGGCGGTTCATTCCGCTGTGGCGACCCACAATAAAGGGATTAATATAGGGACTAAGTTAAAAAGAAAATGAATGAATAAATATACTTTTTACGCTTTGATTAATTCACATTTTAAAACATGAATTAAATAAATAGTTTTACAATTGTCTATTTATTTGTCCATTTAAATGGTAATTTATGTAAATTTTTATGCTTCAATTATTAAATTGATAATTTGCTTCTTCATTTTATTTCTGACCAGCACTCCTGCTCCTCTATATAAATACACCTACTGTAGCTAAAACATAAATGCACCATTTATTTAATTTGTGTATTTATACTGTGTATCTTTTTTTAATTACAAAAATGAAATGATGAAATAACAATTTTTATCACCCACGACTGCTTGAGTCTACCTAGCATTTGTTACACCATACTATAACACTGCTTACCATCAATTATCCTTAAGACTGGCGTCTGACTGGGTCCAGACTTGACTGAAGAGAGGTCTCTTACACACAGGATACAATGTTCAGAAAACCGGAACTTTTAGAAGGTCCTCTCTGTGAACAGGGGAAAAGAAACAAAAAAGGAACAATTCTAACATTAATAGTTATTAAATAAATATAACTAATTTTAGCATTTAAACAATAGCTACAGTAAATATTGCTGCAGTTTCGAAATATTGAGCAGTTTGTGTTATTTCCAACTCAAAAGAATAATAATAATAATGTAAACAATGTACATAAATATAATACAATTTAGCTGAGATTTTCTTTACTCTTTTTTTTTTTTTTAAACACAAACAAACTTTACTAAGATGACAATGTGATGAATGTGTGGTAATATTGTTCTGTAAATGTGCAAGACAACTTTAGCAATATAATTTTTTATTATTTTTTAAAAGCTAGCATAAAATTAAGTTAAATATAAACTAAAATAAAATTACACTTCAGTTGAGATCAAGCATAAAAATCTGTTTTGAGATTGTAAATTAGGACAATCCACTGCTATACAAGGAAAGATTGGAAACACGTTTGGGTTGTAATAAAATACTCTTTTAATGAAAGGTAATTTTAGTTCTACAATTTTGTGATACCAACAGAGTAAGGTTAGTTGAGCAACTGACCAAACAGTAGCATGTATGATCTGACAAATTGATGCATGGCAGTTAATTTAAAAGCTTATAATTTATATGTACTCACTGAAGCTTAGAGCCTGGCCACACCCCGTTTCTGCAAAGTTGGAAGCACCGAATTGCTCATCTGTGTAAGGTAAAGCAAGAGTTAAATAGGTAATTAGTACTTTTAAATTGATGTTTAATAATCAACAAAACTTACCCAAATTTATACTTGAAAGGTCTCTTATCCAAATAGAGACTTGTCAGGAAAAGAGAGTCCTTGTGTTCAAACTCTGGCAGACATAAGAAAATATATTGTCCTAAATAAGACAAAAATGTTTCAAGCATATCTTTCACTCTTTTAAAAGCAGTATGCACACTACATGTACTAAATAAATGGCTACATTTAGGGAAAAACAACAGCTGTGCTTCACAAGCCGCTCAACAAGTTCAACACAACACATACCGTTATTGCAGCAACCAAAGTTGCAATCCTGATCTCTTTCCATTGTTTCCTGATGAACTTTAGTGTTGCTGTTCAATAAAGTGGATACAACAAAAATGTCTCATTAAAAGTGAAATTTTTAAAAAAATAAACATTATTAAAAAAAAAGTATTAATTAACACTTTTTGTCCAGAAATGTGTTTCCTTGAAGTCATCATCTAGTGAAGGTTGAATGCAGTGCCTGAAATGTGTTAGAAGATAAAAGCTTTAATTTTACACAATATGCAATATTTAGCTTATAGAATGTGTTTACACATGCTGTTTTGTGTAAAAATAATTACATAAATATTCTCAAGTGTTTAGTTTACTTACTTTTACGTAGATTCTTAGATTTTAGCAATCCCACCAGTCATTAACTTAATCTGAAGTGTCACAATAATCACTGAAAAAAAGGTGTCTGGAAAGCATTTTCCAAAAGGTTTATTAAACTCCGCATGTAATCAGCCAAACACTCTGAACTCCTTGCTAGTACCAGAATATTTTGAAACAAAAAAAATAAATTAATAATAATTATAAATGCCAAAATCATAAGCATATAACACTATGTGCAGGGAGTATAATGAATTTGTTTTGTAACATCTTTAGAAAAATTAATTTAGTATATAAATTTGCTCTTTCCCTCAATGAAAACTAGAAAAAAAATGGAACAAATGCAGCCTTTAACAAAAATGTCTGTTACATTGTACTTTTAACAAAATCTGGAATAAGCCAGTTTACCAATTAAACAAAAACAATGCTCAATAAAACATTATCATTAACCCAAATACTAAAAGCGTACTTTCTTTGTTGGTGGTTAACAGATAAGGTAAACTGAAAACTCAATTAGTGGTGTATACGTGTTGTGTTAACACTTCAAATGATGTGAACTGAAAGTCCATATTTAACATGCCTCTCTCCACTCATGATCTGAGAGATCTGCAATGAGTGTGAGGACTCTTGGATTCACTGTTAGCTGTTTCTTGTTTTTCTTAGTTTCCACTTTTGTGCCCTTCTCAGGATTGATGTTGAAGAAACACCTTTTTGAATGCAAGAATTCAAAATTAACCACTAGATTAAGTGATTTGTTTAAAATAAATAAATAAATAAAATTATTTACCTCTGAATAAACTCAAGTGTGGAGCCCAGACCCACAGGATAGTGAATGTTGAGGCAGTAGTAGGTTGCAAACATCATGCAAACAGCCGAGATGAAGGTGGAGATGTATTCGTTGACAATTTTCTGGTCAACACTCAGCATGAAATGCTTTGCAGCATAACATGATGTTCCTGCAAGAAAACATAGTTAGAAAACAACTATTACACATGTATTACACATGAGCTCTGACTCCTTCAAAAAAACAGATCAACTTACCGCATACAATGATGCATGGAGTCACAGGTAAGCCTTCCACTTGTACTTCTTTTGCCATACAAGTTTCTTCCACATAGAAGAACAAGTCCTCCTCTTTTTCATTAAAGTAGGAGAGGATGAGGAGCACCAGATCTTTTACATCTTCTGAGCAGCCCTCCAGCTGTCCTCTCAGAATTTTCAGCTTTGTGGCCGCTTGCAAAACATGTTTGCTTTTTTCTGCACAAACACTTCTCATGAAATCTAAAACTCGTTTTCCTTTTTTTTCAACATTACTGAGGAAAGTCTCTTTCAGGGAAACACCAGTTAATTCATGAAAGTGAACTGCCATGCCAACTTCCTTGAATAAGAAAGGCCACTCTTGCATGAGGAATTGCAGATCGGTTCCACTGTTCACTGATTTACGCTGGGAGAAGTATGTGCACTTCATGAGATGTTTTACCTCCTCTGTGTTGAAGGTTGCCTGTTCAAATATCACTTTCATTTTCTCTTTTTTCTCTTCTTGGCTTTCCAGTGTCTCACTCACTGGCATAAACTTCATTTCCCACTTTATGCAGCCATATGTGTCCTGAACAGCTGCCCTCTGTTCAGCTGTGATTTCATCTGTGTCAAATTCATCTGACCCCCGTCTGCGCTTCAATATTCTTGGTACTGAAGACCGCTTTACATTTTCAATTCGTGCTTGCAGCTGCTTGACGAGTGAGTGATATCCTGTTCCTACCACATCACCTTCTATAACATCTTGCAGTGACAGTGGATACTTTGCTACCATTTTCTTCGCAACCTCTGTGGAGGATTGTTTACCAGGAGAAGAAGAGGCATGCATCATTTCAGCAACTACAATTCGGATCAGTTCTCTGCGTAACTTTGAGCTTGGCCTTTTCCCTCTCTCCAAACTCTGCATTAAGGCTTCTGGGAGCTTCTCCCATGGAATCTGGAAGCTGTCGACCCAATCTGCAGTAGCAATCATGTGTCTGGGTGATGGTGAGGGTGAGGGTGAGGAAGACAGTGAGACTGAGGAGCAGGCTGAGGACACTGGAGAGGTCAATGTTGACTGACTATGGAATTCAGTTGTCTCTGCTGTAAAATAAATTGAAATTTAAATGTACAGAATGAAATTTGTTTTTTTTTATCTTAACTTACAAGTAAATGTAACTTTCTGCATAATGTACTTACTGGATTGTTTCCATGCAGCCAACAGTTTTCTAGCTTGAACTGGTCTCAGTACTGTGAGCAGATCAGCTTCCTTAATATACTGTAAATCTTCAGTGGCTCCCACACCTAAAGATTGTAATGTCTCCAATACAATATTTAGATTTGAGGTTGGTAGGTCTGGTAACACATTAGTAATGGCACTGCTTATGTTGCTTGGCTCTACGTCATCCATTCTGAGTAAAAAAATGTAAAAAGACAAAAAGAAAAAAAAAAACTTTCAATTTTGACAGCACAAGACATAATTAGTGTGACAAAACACTGTGTTTCAATGGAACCAGTCGTTGTCCATCTTTCATGTAAGCAGCCAATGGATAGAAATCAATCATGTCACAGATGTTAAAACACTGGATCATTTCATTGTCTTTCCTCACTGAGTACACATGGTACTGAGGAAGGAATTCTGCTGTGTACATTGACACCAAAAGATAAACGGTGTTGTTTTTTACCAAAATGAGCACAAGTTCACCAAATTCCACCAAGTCAGTATACCCTGTGACAAGGAACTGTCCTTTCTTGTAGGCTGTTCCTTTATAAACCATTTCTACTGTGACAGCTGTGTTGGTATCAGTGAAACCATATTGTCTGACTGCATCCTGAATGCCTTTACTGTACAGTGTTGAGTAGAATGGAGAAGCACCTTTAATTTGCAAAACAGCCTGTCTATTGGAGCCTGCTGATAAATAAGCCTGCAACATCTGATGTCTGTTAGACAAAGTGAGACCAAGGTTTTTGAAATTCCTCAAATTTCTTGCACATCTTTTGAAATAGCTATGCTTGCTTTCGAAACGCATTGTCCACAATCTAATCAAGGGGCCAAATTTCAGAGTCAGTGCTGGATAATGGCGTAAGTAATGATGCTTAGGTCTCAGCTTAGTTTCGGGGAATATAGATGTTCTGGATTCTAAATACTCTTCAATAAGGACTTCAAGATATGCAATTTGAGGAACAGAGATTTTCTGAGCACATACCATGTCCACAATGTCTTTCAGCTGCAGAGTCAGCTGCCACACATCATCTGCTGCATCTTTCACTTGATCACCAATTATGAGAGGCATCAGTCTTAAAAAATTCCAGTTCTGTATTGCATTTCCAGTGAGCTTACCTGCTTGAGGGTTGACCTCACATGGCTTAGCAGCAGCATCTGAGGCACAGTATTTGAACTGTTTAATACGCCTGTTCAATGTAGAGTATGTGAACCATTTTTTTTTTTTTATGAAGTATTTCAGATACAGTGCCACATCATATGACAAAACACCCTCAAATATGTCGTGTCCCACACAAGGTGGCAGACCAGGCTGACACACATTAAAGTATTTCAAAGTATTGAATTCTGACCTGAATTTTACTCCTTCCACGTCTTGTGCTCCTTCTGCTTGGATGCGGTCAATTGCTGAGTTATAGTTTTGAATTGTCCGGGCTGGTCCACACAGATTTGGATCACCCTGAAATTCAGATCGAGTAATTAGACAATATCTACAGAAATGTTCTGCACGGCTGAAATTTTCAGAGAACCCACCAATGCAGTGGGATCCTAAATTATCGCCGGCAATGCAATAGACCGTTCCTTTTACTACGGTTTCATCTGAAACAGGAATTCCATTCTCCTCCAAATACTTTAAGTCTGCTAGTAAATTAGAGAACACCTTAGCATGCCCAAATTCTTTAAAATCTTTTTCTCTGCACAATAAAACAAGTGACATGTGGTTTGTGTCTGACCTTACATGAAGTGGCAAATTAGCTACAGATAAATAAACAGCTAATATTTTATGTCTTGTCTTTGCAGAGCCTAAAGGATTAACAACTTCGAATGCATCCTGATACAGTACTAGTTTTAGGCCTGATGGATTCTGAACAAAAAAGTCATTTGATTTGAACATCTGGCCATCAGTAACATCAGTTAAAACATCTGTGGGTGTGTCAGTGGGGTGCTCCTCAGACATACAATCCTGCCACATATCAGACTGCAATAAGCATTTTAAAGTCTCTTTGACTGGCACATAATAGGCAAACCTATCTTTTCTGTTCTCATCCCTTCCTAACAAAACAGTCTTAGGCTCCACATAATTGAAATTTTTTTTGAAACACTGAGCTCTTGTGTGTGCAGTCCTCATTGGCCCTGTATGACATGCAGAAAACAGATCAGATTCCTTGACAGACTGACAAATTTTGGTGATCTCATCTTCTGTTAAGGATGTTTCATTCTTTAGCTGTGAAGCAAGTTTACTTAAAGTATATGTCTGACCCAACTCGTGTATATTTTGAATCTCCTCAACAATGTTCTGTGTGGTTGAATCAGGCACTAAGAGCTGCCCTTGCAGTTTTAAGTAAAATAAACAAATATTTTTAAGAAAAAGATCGTTGAAATCGTCGGATGTATCTACATCACATTCAAATTCATGGCCACAGTCATGTGACGTTAATTCGGTTGTTACAGATTGTGAAGATGACTGATAAGCCGACGAGTCTCTGTACAAGTCACTAATTGTGCTTTCTGTGAAATGTTTGTGTTTCCGTGACATGTGGGAGGTAAAGGAAGATTTAACTTTAAAAGCATCTGTGCATCCTCTTACTGGACAACTCACAACACGTCCTTCTACAATGTGGTCTTTCAAGTGTGCTATTAGAGATTTAGCATCTTCACACTGTCGATCACATAACGCCATTGCACATTTAATAGGCATAACATCTGTCCCGACAGCAACGTTAACAGGCGCATTTACGTTATGTTTTCTGTAAAAATGAGCCTTAAGCGATGCATATGTACAGAAAGTCTGTTTGCATTCGGCTGCAAAGCACTTAAATAAACGCGGTTCATTTCGGTGAAGTTTGCAATGTATTACATAAGCCCTCAATGATTTGACTGACTTGCCACAGAAATTGCAACTCAACATCGCTAATACTGATTCTGTAAAAATGTACTTTTAGTGTAGAACCGTGTTGTCAAACAGACTTACCTCGAAAAGAGAAGTGGAGTTAGCAGGTGCCAAAGGTTTGCACTAAGCATCACAAGTTGAAGAGCGGGCGCGCTAAATCGGCGGCTGAAATATAAAATGTCGACAGTTCACGTTAGCTCATTGGGCGGTGCTATTCCGCCATTTTAAACGGTGTGCGCGCTTATTTTTCGCCAACTGAAATATAAAATAACGTTGACAGTTCACCTTCGTTTACTGAGTGGTGCTATTACTACATTTAAATATGCACTTTGAATAGTATAAATGTTCGTAATTTATACTCAAGTTAACAAGTAATTGTTAAATAAATACACTTTGCGTCAGACAAAAAGTCTTCCCCCAACTTCACAATTTGCAAGTTACCCTATGAAAAAATTTAAAATAGGCATTGGACTCACCACTTGCATTGCATGCAGATCGTGATTTTTTTTTTCTCTGCATGTGTGTTCATGTTTTTTACAGAATTTTTAAAACATGCTGTTTAATAATAAATAATCAATAATAAAACACATCCCTGCTGAAAAATACAGCTTAAACCAGCCTAGGCTGGTTTAAGCTGGATTTTTTAGCAGGGATAATTAAAAACACTTTCATAATTGTCTTCATAATTCATCTTTTATTTTTGCTCATTCTAGCATCTTTTATTTCAACCTTTTATTTCAGCCTTTAACCTATATAGTTGTGATTAAATACAAAGTAATATGAAAAATCTAATATTTTTACAACATGATTACATAGTGGGCAACACGGTGACGCAGTGGGTAGTGCTCACAGCAAGAAGGTCACTGGTTCGAGCCCCGACTGGGCCAGTTGGCGTTTCTGTGTGTAGTTTGCATGTTCTCCCCGTGTTCACGTGGGTTTCCTCCGGGTGCTCCAGTTTCGCCCACAGTCCAAAGACAAGCAGTAGTGTATGTGTGTGAATGAGTGTGTATGGATGGACCCAGTAATGGGTTGCAGTTGGAAGGGCATCCGCTGTGTAAAACATATGTTGGATAAATTGGCGGTTCATTCGGCTGTGGTGACCCCTGATGAATAAGGGACTAAGCCGAAAAGAAAATGAACGAATGAATGATTACATAAAGGTCGATATATTTGTATTTTTACAATTATATCTTGAATTTGTTTTTCATTGCCTTTAGCAATTAAATCTCAGATTTGATCCATAGGGCCTATTTAATGAACAATACAGAAAAGTACAGTAAATGACATAATATTATAACATTTTACATTAAAGACTCAAATAAAACAGCATATGCTGGTGATGTAGCCTATGTTTTGATGCCCGTATTCTGGTTTCAATGTAATATCTTGGCCCTGACCACCATTGAGACCAGCACGACCAGCATTGAAACCAGCATACCTTACCAGCATATGCTGTTTTTTGTTTTTGTTTTTCAACAAAGTGGATGGTTTGACCAAAAAAAAAATAAATATGTCATTAATCATTTTCGGAACAGAAATTAAAATACTTTGGATTTTAACATTGTAATTTGTGGCGTAAGAACCCTTGCTGTCTATGGGAGGAACTACGATTAAATCCAAAATATATTAATTTGTGTTCTGAAAATGAACAAAGGTCTTACGGGTTTGGATTTTTTTCTTTTTGAGTGAACTATCCCTTTTATTTGACAAACATATACCATTCTTTTAACCTCTTGTTACTGTAGAATTTAAAGTAAGTTTCTGTTGAATTTTTGAAGGTTTTATATTGTAAATTTTATAGTACACATCAACAAAATGTGTTTTTACACAGAATTATACTGTTGATTTTAGGGTAATTACTTGCTTGAGAAGTTACGGTATTTTTTTATTTATTTCACCAAAAAAATATATTTTTACTGTAAAAAGTTGTATTTATTACATATTAAAAGAGTAAAAATTAAAGTTATGTACTCTTTCTTAAATTACGGTGATTTAATGTATGTAATACAGTCATATACTATTTTGGTTTAAATAGTCTTTTACTGTTGCTGCTTTACAGTTTTTTACTGTAGTTTTCACTGACATTTTTTACAGTGTACTGACACAGGTCCAGTCCAGGGCCGGAGTGGGAATTTTCAGCCCTGGAGTTTCAAGCCTTAGACCGGCCCACCTCAGTGCAATATCTGAATATATATATTCTGTGCAAAATTCTTTATAGATATCCAATCCTTTGTAACAATGGTCACACAAAAAAATAAAAATAAAATATGTACACTTACATAAGTAACCCAAACAGTATTATATGTCTTAACACTAAAAACGAAAAAAACTAAATATATAATAATAATAATTACTCAGATCAAGTTCGAACTCCGGTCGGTGGCGTCATAATGTAACGTGCTGACCACTGGACCACAATGGCTTAATCTTTTTCCCCCCTTTTTAGATTTCTGATCAAGTTCATTCATTCAATTTTTTTGTCGGCTTAGTCCCTTTATTAATCTGGGGACACCACAGCGGAATGAACCGGCAACTTTTTTTCACGTTTTTACGCAGCGGATGCCCTTTCAGCCACAACCCATCTCTGGGAAACATCCACACACACATTTACACACACACTCATATACTAGACAATTTAGCCTACCCCAATTCACCTGTACCTGCACCTGTAATTCACCATCTTTGGACTGTGGGGGAAACCAGAGCACGCGGAGGAAACCCACGCGAATGCAGGGAGAACATGCAAACTCCACACAGAAACGCAACTGAGCCCGATTGTTTCAGTTCTCCACACGGAATGAGCGATAGTGATGTTTACCTTAGCAAACACCGCTAATGAAAGCGCTTCGGGCTACAGTAATATTTTATAAGATGATAAAGCGCAGCCACATGAATTAATCTCAAGGAGATGAAAACTGATAAATAAGACATTTCAGCTTCACCATGATGGAGGCGTCGAGACAGAACTTGTCGTTTAGCTCAGCATCAGTGGAGATTCTGCGTGAAGCACAACAAGGGTAGAAACTAATTGCAAACAGTTTCATCTCTGCCTCACTGAGCGGGAAAACAAGGGTCTGATGTTCTTTATTTGAGCAGGGAGCCATCTGTAGCTCAACAATATTCACTATCAGTCTTTAGCATTTGTTTACCTCATGGAGAGCTCACCGAGTGCAACCAGGTAGGCAGCAGGCCCACATTTACTTCTGTTTGTTTGTTTGTGTGTGTTTGTGTGTGTGTGTATGTGTGTGTGTGTGTGTAACTCATCCTGTTGTGACCACAGCTGCTCCTATCCTCCTCTTCTGCTCCATTTCCTCTACATCAGCCATACAATGCAGCCAACCTCAGATGCCCTCACACAGACACAGAGACACGCACACAACTGAAGAATATGATTCATTGAATTTACTTAATGTTTAAGTCGTTGAAACAAAGAAATTAAGTTGAATGTACTCAATTTACTTGGTCTCATTTGAAACAAATACGTTTAGTTGTATTTATTCAGCTTTCTTAATGCCAAAGAACGCACCCCAAACTTATTCATTCGTTCATTCATTCATTCATTCATTCATTCATTCATTCATTCATTCATTCACTCACTCACTCATTCATTCATTCATTCATTCATTCATTGTCTTTTCATCTTATTCATCTTATATATATATATATATATATATATATATATATATATATATATATATATATATATATATATATATATATATATATATATATATATATATATATATATATGAATGAATATATATATATATATGTGTGTGTGTGTGGGTGTGCGTGTGTGTGTAATAAAGTTTTGGTTCCAAAGGAACATATTCTCAAACCACACCATATTCACAGACCACACCAAGCAAATCCTTCCAAAACAACAGCAGCTCTCCACACTCCCAAACACAGTAAAACAAAGTACCAATTACATCTTTACATTTTGTGCATTAGTCTGGGATATTAGGGTTAATCCAGTGTAATTTTACAGGTGTAATGTAAGTCCTCATTATCCATTTGTATTGCAGTATTCTACATCTGGTATCAAAAGTTTGAGTTTAAGCTAAAAGACATGCATATTCCCATTTCTCAACAGTGATATACACTTGAAGGTCTCTTTTCCATGCTGATGGATAGGGAATGAGGTATGAGCAGGTATGATAGGGAATTTTTCTTTAAATCTATCCAGTAATGTCATGTAAAGCAAGGATATCATTCCTCTATCATTTATGTGATTTAAAATAAGTTGTACTGATGTAGAATAATGGGGCTCCAAGTAGGTTTTAACTTTCGAATATATAAAACTTCTAAACAGACTTTGAGTTATCTTAATGCAAAAAAATAAATAATAAATCAGCCAAATTTAATTACTTGATAAATTGCTTAACATAATATTTATATATAATTTTGTTACAATTATCCATAAGGTGCTTAAAAAAATATGCACTTAAAAAAGGGGAAATGTGCCACTTTATAACATCTGTTTGTGAAATTACGTAATTAAACAACACATGAGAGAGGGAGCTGAGCACACTCAAACACACGCACACACACAGCTGCCCGGCAGAGAGAGGGCTGCAGGGCTGAATGAGTTACAGCTTGACCTGCAGTCTCCTCTTCCAGATCCCCTGAAGCACCTTCACAGACTGACCCATGAAATGTCATTTGAATGCTTTCCCTCCCCTGCCCCCCTTGGCCACCATGACGGACTCTATGCAAATGTGTAAAACAAAAAAAAAAGTCAGCTGTTATTTTAGTATAAAAAACATACAACTGGGCACATTTTCATTACAAATTTACAAACCAAAAGGTTTTGTGATATTTTCTACAAGGGAATATAAAACTTGGCAGCAAAATAAGTGTTAAAAAATGCAAAAAAAGCAATAAAAAGCATTAAAAATACACATATTAAAATAAATAATCTGATATTTTGGAACGATTTAACACACTATATAATAAAAACTAACAAACATGAAAATAAACAAAAATTATATGATAATATTATATCATATAAATCAGATTTAATTGGCCATTTTTTTATTACATTTTATTAAAAATGAGTTCAAAATAAGCTAAAAAACAAATGGTTATATTGATTCAAATAAAATAAAATAAAAAAACTGTTAGATAAAATATTTGAAAAAAAAGATATTTAAAATAACTAACAAATAATATAACTAATTAAAATAAATAATAAAACATTTTAGAATACATGAACACACACTAGTATAAGACACAAATAAATTAAATCAAATAATCTAATAGTTGCACAGTTTTAAATGTATAATAAAACAACAGATAACATTAAAATAAATACAAATTCTAACCAATATTTTAGCTCCATTTACAATGTAATTTGTTTGCAGATTGAATCTTTATGCAAGAAACGAGAAAGACGTCTTTTACGTTTTTAAACTGGGGTGCATTTCAGGAGCATGATCTTTTATGGTCCATGCTATCTAGAACATTAAAAATCCCTGACAAAATGCTTACATTTTATTAAAACGTCTT